TTGGTCACATGCCTAGGATAGTTCATGAATATTTATAGTCTGTTTGGATGGGAGACACCTTGGTTTCTGGGGACTTCATAGACATCTCACTCACTCTTCTTTTGAAGTAAATCTGTAGAAGAGCTCAATGTTCTGCAGTTTTGAGCTTTTGCTCAATTCACCTCTAGTTTGAGTTTGGGGTTTCAAATCCAAATTTTCTTAAAAATACAAATGTGCGTAAACAATTTGGGCCTATGAATTTTAAACCAATATGGCCAAATCCCTCAATTAAAATAACCCCTCAATCTCCAATTTCATTTTGGTTAAAAATTTGTTGGATATTAAGTACACCTTTCATTGGATATTATTAAGACACCGATGCTATCTCCCTTTTCTTTTCGAAAATTTTCTTCTGTAGAAGGTTAAGCTGGGGTAACTTAGTTAAAATTACACACATGCTCTGCTACTATCAATCTTGATCAGATAATTTCATTAAACCTGATCAATCATGTATTAAGTATGCTTCTCCACATTTTCAAGAGGAATCTGTATGTCCTTACAGAAGCCCCTGTAACCTAGATAATTAGGTTTCTGTTCATTCTTCCTTGTGGATAAGCTTACCATAGTGACCAGATTTAAACTCTAGTAACCTAAACCTCCTTCAGAAACAGCCTCTCTCCCTCACCTCTGAGGTAGTGGTAAGGTCCGCGCACACTCTACCCTCCCCAGCCCTCACCATGTGGGACTACACTGGGTATGTTGTTTTTGTTGTTGTTACCGGGACCTTTTTGGTGAGTTGGACGACTGTGAATCAGCCCTTTGCTAATGGCATTGAAAAACCTAAACCATAAAAGAGAACTCAAATATCAGGTTTCTCTAAAGAAGTGGCCACTATGCTTTGGCTGATACTTTGATACTTTTCTTTTTCACCTTTCAATGAATTGAAAATGAGATAAAGATGCTTCATTGTTGAATTTTATCTTGCTTGATTTCTTTTGACTACAGTTCTCAGTTGTTGCTTTAAGAATAGTTCACTTGTTTGACGTTTCTCTGCTCCTTTTTATGTGCAATAATTTGTTCATTGCAGTGGGTTTTATCATCAAAAGAAATAAACTTCCCGTATCCTCTTGCGCTGACGCTACTTCACATGGTCTTCTCCTCAGTACTGTGTTTTGTGCTTACCAAAGTTCTCAAGGTAAGAATTTTTCTCCCTTTTACTGATTGTTTGGGTAACTAGTAATGCTAATTTAGGCATTTCTTTGCAGATAATGAAGGTTGAAGAAGGAATGACTCTAGACATGTGAGTGCATGTGAAAATATGTCATAGCAAGTTTTATATCCAAGAACTCTATTACTCTGTCTATTCCAATTTATGTGGTAGCAATTACTGTTTTGAGAGTCGAAGAGGTTCTTCTTTGACCACGTTTTTCTTTAAAAGTTGGGATTACATTATGACTTCTGGTACTTTATATGTAGTTTCTATATATGTAATTATATTTCTGAAGTCTTGAAGAATCTAATTCCGATTCACACCAAAATTTAAGTACTTTGGCTACTCTGAACCTCGTCACATGAAGTGGAATGAAGGGAGTATCTTTTATAACTTTTCTTCAATAAAGTAGGCTCATTTAGCTAGATTTTGTCCTACCAAAATTTATGTAAATCTCTGTCTTCTGCCATCCGCTTTTCCTCTTTTGGTGCAATCCATATCTTTTCTCCTGCTTTGCCTTGCCCGCCTTGGAAGTTGGATAAGCCAAGACTTGAGTGTTTAGCTGTTTAGTACATCACAAACTCCTCGGCTTATTGGTTAGAGATGTTCACTTTCTTCGAAGAATCATGTCATGCATTGCACAAGTTACAGATATACTTCTCATTAAAATTATATTTTTATTGTCTTCCCTAAAATGATGATAGGAATTTATTGTCCCAACATGTTGCTCCACTAAGAGACAGAGCGCCACATAGTTTCAATCCTCATCCTTACAATTATGCATAATCAGACATCTAGTTAGGCATAAAATGGATTAGTTTGAATAACTTACTGAAATAAGTGTACACTTGCACTGCACAGTTATCAAAACATGTATAAACAAGACAGAGAAAAAAATTAGCATTAATCTTCTTCCTCACAATTAGTATAAACTAGAAACATACCTGAAGTTGCTGGTTCTCTCAATTTTATCACAACTTTTGCATTTGTGCTCAAAATCCTTACAACAGAAGTAGGCACCAGTGTGTTACTGTACTGCTTTTTTCCTTCTCAGCTTTTTTCAATTAGACTTTCTTGAAGACTAACTAAGATTTCAATATGCAGATACATTAGCTCAGTCATCCCAATTGGTGCTATGTTTGCTATGACGCTTTGGCTTGGGAACACAGCTTACCTTTATATTTCTGTTTCATTTGCTCAGATGTTGAAAGCAATCAGTAAGAATTTTTTCTATCGAGTTGTCTTATATTTCTGTAGTTCATAGATGTTAGAGGTATGTAAAACTTCAGTATAGTTTTATGCTGATATATATAAGTGTCAAAGGATGTTTCATGTGTGATGTTTACACTTTAGACGTTGGGCTGGTGGACGTCCTGCTCAAGTACTGTATACTCTTCGTTTGTTTGTGTGAGAATATGATTTCACATTTTTAGGTCTCATCTGCAGTGCCCGTAGCTGTCTTCATCCTTGGAGTTGCAGCTGGACTCGAAATGATGAGCTGCAGAATGCTTCTCATAATGTCTGTAATCAGTTTTGGTGTACTAGTAGCTTCTTATGGAGAAATAAACATCAACTGGGTTGGTGTCATCTACCAAATGGGAGGTGTTGTTGGAGAAGCTTTAAGGCTTATATTTATGGAGATTCTGGTAAAACGGAAGGGCCTCAAGCTAAACCCCATTTCTGTCATGTACTATGTTAGCCCATGCAGGCAAGTACATTTTTTGTCTGAAAGCAGGATGCTTTTTCGATTTTGTTATTATGTTATGCTTTAACATTATAAAAAAGACAATGTAATGGAACTCTCTTGTTACACAATGCAGCGCTCTTTGCCTTTTAGTTCCATGGATCTTTTTGGAGAAACCAAAGATGGACGAACAACTAACATGGAGCTTTCACCCTCTTGTTCTAACTCTAAATTGTATATGTACTTTTGCCTTGAATCTCTCTGTTTTCTTGGTGATCTCACATACAAGTGCCCTAACAATTCGTGTTGCTGGAGTTGTCAAAGACTGGGTGGTTGTACTGCTGTCTGCACTACTTTTTGCTGATACGAAGCTGACACTTATCAATCTTTGTGGTTATGCTATTGGTACTTTTCTGACCCTCATATCTGATGCCAAGAAACATTCTACTTTTAACTGATTTCCAGCCATTTTCCTTGCATTCATTCTACATAGATGTGCTCCTTTGCAAAATACTCATCATCTACTTCTTGTTTTGGCTCATTTTCTGTGCCCGGTAACTGGATAACCCTTTGCTTTGTCTCTATTGATTTGTGTAATTGAACCAATGCTGCATCTAGTCCTCGGGGAACATCTTTCTATATTTTATCGCAACTGCTTTAATTTGTCCAGTGTTGGCACTTTGTGGTAGTGATATAATAGTAACTTCTTCATTAGAAGAGCTAACCTGTGACTAATACAACTGATTAGATATTGTTCTTGATGAATACATTGAGAGGACTAATAATAATAAACACTGCCAAGTGCTTCATGTTGATAGAACACTTTATTTTATGTTTTTATTTTCTCAAGTAAGATTGTTATACTTGGAGAAATCCTAATCTTTTCTCATACTGCATATATGATGATAAATATAAATATTGATGGTACTCTTTCGTGACCGCATAGTAATATAGAAAATATGTTTTCTGCAGCTATTGCTGGTGTAGCTGCATATAACAGCCACAAGCTAAAGAAGGAAGCTACCCGAGTAAGCTCAGACGAGTCTCAAGCCACTTCGTCTATACCTTTAGTATCATCTTCAACGTCAAATGCGTAGATCTATCTGAAGAGTAGTCTTGCAGTCTATTCTGAGGTCTTGCAAGTAACGGAGCAGAAAATTCTGCAAATTCCAGTATGTCTTTTTTTTTCGGGGCAAGTAGGGGTTGGCTCACTCTTAAAATTGATGCATTATTGAAAACTACAACACATTTGCTGGTTTAGTAGAAGATAAAGTTGAACATGGTGATATTCAAGTCATGAACTTGTCTATGCGACATTCTCTGGTTATTACTGCTGCTTTTGAATTCGAGACATCGGAGCACAAGAAAAAGAAACAGCTATAATGATGTATAATATAGAGGATCCCATATATTTTTGATCGCGTAAAGGTTGGGAAACTGACATTCTTTTTGTTCGATATAGACATCGATGAATGCTGACTGTTGATATGTTGAAACAGATTCCAGATTTATTAGAGTGTATAGCTGTTGGTGGAATTGAGTTCTTCTTGAGACAATTTTCTGTTGTAAGGTTGATCATTTTTTTTTGCTTGAAATACAATATTTGAACAGATTTAGTAAGAATTGAAGCCTTACATTGTATGATGAGCTATCACTTCTTTCACCACATAAATTTATCTATTTGGATTGTTTTATTTGAGCCGAAGATCTTTCGAAAACAATTTATCTATCTTGAAAGGGTAAATGTTTGCGTACATACCATTCTCCCCAGATCGCACTCGTGGAGTTATCTTATTTTATAGGTATGATTAAAGTTCATTCTTTTAAGCAAGTTATCTTGGATCATTATATGGTTTTATATGCAAACTTAAGTTGCTTAACATGATAATCATTTAAGTCAAATCTATAACTGATAAGTCTAATCGATAACATTCAGAACTAAACAGAACAGAACCAAAAGCAGTCCTGGCTCACATATTAAAACATGATATCAGAACATACAAAAAGTTCTGAATTCACCAATAACATTCAAAACTAAGCAGAACGGAACGAGAAGTAGTCCTAGTTCACATATTAAAACATGATATCAGAACAGACAAAAGATTCTGAATTCACCAAATGATTCATCTACTCTATTCCATAATGCTTTCTAAGTTGCAAAGCAAAGTCATAAACCTTAAGAGGTTCAACAACATTTTTGTAGACACTTTCCCTTTTCATGCATCTTTTCATCCATGCAATAATCTTTGGTGTCTCAACTTCTGTACTAAATTCTCCAAATTTTTCATAAGTATAAAACCAACTACAAATTCCTATGAGACAAATGTCCAAGTAACCAAACTTTTCACCTCCAAAATAAAGTTTATCTCCAATAATTCCTTCTAGCATCCTTAAAGTGTCTATGTAGTTTCCCTTTCTTGTTTGTTTTTCTCCTCCTTTTTCCATCCATAATTTACGCCCTGTATCAAACACCTGCGAGGAATTTAGAGTTAGTAAGTTCAGAATCGAGCATTAACCTATAAAATATGTGTACAATTTTTTGAAGTTTTATTACATATATAACATAGTCCGAACGAAATACCTAATCCTCAAGACACGAAAAATACCCTCTAGCAAAAAATGCAACGTAAGACTGTATACATAAAGACCAAATGTGGTCCGACCCTTACTCTATGCATAGAGTGAGCTTAATGCATTAGAATGTCCATTATTTGAAAAAGTTTTAATATACTTTTATGATGACTTGGTGGAGATACGTTGGTATAAAAGATTTATTCTTTTTGTCTCTGAGCTTGGTTTACCTGACCGAAAGGCCCCTCCAACGCCTAAAAATAGAAGCTTCTTTCCGTCTCTATTTGGCAAAGGGAGACGAAGTTGAACACGACTCATATAAACATATAAAAATTTACTAAAATATCAACATATATGAAATCTAAACTCATAATTTCTTAATAGGTTTAAACGGTAAGAACCTTAAAGGTCGAACTCATCGAGTTTAAATCCTGAATCTACCTCTTCTGTCAACGTATAAAAAGAAATAACAAATTTTGTTACCTTTTCCACATAGTCAGCCCAAAACATAGCTTGATATTTTTCATAAGGATCACTAGGAAGAAATATAACTTTGTTCTTCCAAACCTCATCAATATATTGGACAACATTTAGTGATTCACAAATTGGTTTTCCATTGTGAATCAAAACTGGTATTTTCTTGTAAATTGGATTCATTTCTAAAAGAATTGGACTTTTTTCAATCATATTTTGTTCTTTGTACTCAAAATTGACACATTTTTCAGCTAGTGCTACCCTAACTCTCATGCCATACATACTAGGCCAAAAGTCCAATAAAATCACCTCTTCATTTGCCATTTTTTTTAAAAAAAATTAAGAACTCATAAATTAACAACAAGAAGTTTTGACTAATCCAAAAAAATTTAGCTTGTGATATAAATAGATTGTTTAAGAGTTGGATTCTTGTATTTTAGCTTATGTATTCAAGTGATTGTACTATAAGACCTTGTTACTTTCTATTTGACGTTCTTTTATTTTCCTCGATTTTTACATAAAGGTAACTTGCTTACTCCGCGTTACGATGTTGGATTCTTGTATTTCAGCTTATGTATTAACGAAAATGTACTAAAGCTAGATAGGGACTAGAGCATATATACTTTTTATACTAACGGACATACTTATCCACTAATCCGATTTATTAAATATCGAATCGACGAATAAGATAGCGTCTCGTGTCCCTATTTAGTCTTCCGTTAGAATAAAGGACATATATGCTCTAGTTTTGGGATGTCAGAGGCACCAATATCTCAAAAATATGACGAAACGTATCTCCATACCATTTACGATAGTTCATGGTATATTTCTTTTTCCCTTAAATTAATTTTCAATTATAGGCCAGTTTGGCTAGATTGATGAAACCAAGATTTTCAGAATTTTGTCTTGGCTAGGCTAAGGAATACAAGAGAAAAGAAGATATAATATATTTGAACTTTTTTTTTGACTTGTTTAATTTTGGTGATGTGCCAAACCACAAAATCCAACCGTTAAAAAATAATGGCATGATTAAGACCTTATTCTGTAACAACAGTAGCATAATTAAGTCGATTTATTAATGAATGACCTAAATGAGTCTTTTTTCAAAATTCAGTGACGTATTTGAGCTTTTTCACTATAAAATATGTCATTTCATTTGATCATACTCATTCGCTTCAATAAGGCGTAAAAACCGAGAGGTTTTTTAGTTGAGGTAGATATGTATATATAGTCAAAGGAGATAGACATATTTTTTTTATAGGTTTATCCTTCAAATGTGATATTATGTAGCGATGAAAAACGATACAATCTATTCAAAACGTCATATTCAATAAAATAATATACAATAACACAAAACAATACATTATGAAACATTGCGTAACAACCCTCCACGGAGTGAGGTAATTGAAGGGCTCGGATGAGCATAGTACTTTACAAGTACCAAACACACAAGCATCTTGCTTCTGATTTTCACTTACACTTTGTAAAATGTGTTGTGCATGTATATAATAATGAAACTGTCTTTTTACTTTCTTAAACTCTGTGCAAAATCAAAACACGATAGACAAATTGAAACGGAGGGAGTAATAAACAACTCGCAAGTTAAAAGATGGTTTTGTTGAAGAGGATTTGTGATGATATAGAAGAGATTGAAGACAAGAAGATTGGCCTTCGTCGAGGTCTTTTAACGTTGATGTTAGAATGGAAATGTTTTGAACAACACTTGGATTTAACAGGAACAAGGTTGAAAGAATGGTTCAATGAACTCGAATCCAGAGAGAAGCATATGTGTGCTACTCAAGAGTCAATAGGTGAAAGCTTAAAGGAACTTGAGTTAGTTAGAGAATCACTCAACACGAAACGTGTTGAAGTTGAGGAGAAAGAAAGACAGATATCAGAGTATATTGATGACTTGAAAGTGAGAGAGGAGAAAGAGATATCGATTCGTGGTATGCTTGAGGTGTTTGAGAATGTACTTGAGGGAAGGCTTAAGGAGATTGATGTGAAAGAGAAGAAATTTTACGAGCTAGCTAATGAGCTCGATATCAAGGAAGATAGATTGAAGCAACGAGAGAATGAAATGAAGGCGCGAGAGGAAGAACTTGAGTCTGCTATGTTGTTCAACAAAATGCAGCTGGATTCTACGAGTCAGTTGAGTCCACGAGGATGTGATTCGAGGAAAAGAGAGAGGACAATGTTGGTGGAGTCTAACTACCCATTCAAAAGGCTAAAACCAGGAAAATCTTCGGAATATAGCAATGCTGTTGATGCAAGCAATGCTGATCAATTGGCGATGATTTGTTATGATATGATTGTTCGTGATGACTCTGAAACAGAACCGGAGACAGATCATAAAGGTATCACACAAGTATGTGACTGTCCTCGTGCTAAGTTTCACGACTTTGATAAGGGGAAAAACATAGAGGATTTTGACGTTGATCAAATTTGGGCGTGTTATGATGATTTAGATGGTATGCCTAGGCTCTACGCGCGAGTTGAAAAGGTTTTTACTCCCAAATTTAAGTTGCAAATGGTGTGGTTAGAGGCTAATGCAGAAGAAGATCATTTCATAAATCATGAGTTACAGATTAGTTGTGGTAGATTTAGACTCGGAAGCTCACTAGACGTCTCAGAACACCTTATATTCTCTCATCAAGTGAAATGTGAAAGAGATGGTTATGGTTATTATCTGATATATCCTACGAAAGGTGAGACTTGGGCTGTTTGGAGCTCTGAACTACTAGATGACCATCATCGACAGCTTAAGTATGAGATCGTGGAGGTACTTTCTGATTTCGTTGATGATGTTGGTATAAGTGTCAGTTATCTGGATAAAGTCACTGGATTCATCAGCATTTTTGAAAGGAGACGTCGTGGAAATGACTCATTCGTGATACCAGCAGATGCATTACACAGATTTTCTCATAAAGTTCCCTCCTTTAAGTTGACAGAAACGATAAACGAGTCTTTTGAACTTGATCCAGCTTCACTACCTGATTTGTCAGATAGGTACAACGACAAGTTCAAGGTCGGAAATGATGTCTTTAGCTTCAAAATGGATCAAACCTGAAGAGTCTTAGGCATTTGAAGTTAAAATATACGATAACAAGAATTACGATTAGGAAGAACAAAACATCTGTTTATACTATTCATATCATAATGTCCAAGAAGAAGCGACAGCAGAACTACATAGATAATACTGACACTCTACTAGTCAACAATTGGCCATTGTCTTTATTCCTTTAATTTAACTCTGAAACTATCTTTCGACAAGGCAGAACTAAGTGCCCATTCGTGTATTATGAACCAAACAATGAACATGTTTATTCTAATCCATTTTTCTTTCTGAATTCAATTACTACCTCATAGATCTTACGAGAGTCAGCTAGAGATTTCGAGACACTCTCCCTCTTCATGCATCTTTTGCCCCAAGCAGCAATCTTCGGGCACTCAGCCTCTATGCTGAAGTTGCAAATGGTTTCGTATGTATAAAACCAGCTGTAGAATCCAATCAGAGCAATATCAACGAAACCAAAACTTTCCCCTCCGAAGTAAGGCTTGTCTCCCAGTGCAGCTTCCTCGAGTAACTTGAGTGGATCGATGAAGTCCTTCTTACCTTCCGCAAACTCTTCTCTTTTGACTGTCCATATTCTTCTCCCGAAATCATACAACTGCAATTTCAAGATTTCCATTACAAAAATCTCATCTTTTTTATTTGTGATCATGTAAAACAATATCAATCAACTACAACGTCTGCTATATGAATCGTCTATATCTACTCTATCTTATCCAGAATCCGTTTCATAGACAAATCAACAACAACAACAACATAACCAGTATGGCAGAGAGATTGTTTATGATAGACTCTCGACTCAAGGAAAAAACAATCCAAAGCAGAAGTAATGAAAGTTAAACCATAACGAAGACATTCTGAACAGTAACTACAACAAAATAATACAATAATCAAACAGCAAATACACTCAGTCTTATTGACAATCAGTTTCAATCTAATACCATAATCAAACAACGAACAACATATCCAATGTAGTCTCACAAAATGAGATCTCGGAAGAGTAAAGTGTATACAAACCTTACCCCCTACCTTTCAAAGGCAGAGAGACTGTTTCCGATAGACTTAGTCCAACAAGACATTCAGAACAGAACAGTAAGTAGAACAAAATATTACGATAATCAAAGTATATACAAGAAACTACAGGAGCAATACTACGGATACTAGTACGAACCTTATCAGTATAGCTAGCCCAAAACCTGGCTTGTGATCTGTCATAAGGATGAGAAGGTAACAGAGGAGCTTTATCCTTCCATACCTCATCGATATACTCAACAACGACGAAAGATTCACAAACAGGTTTACCATTGTGAATCAAAACTGGAATCTTTTTGTGAATTGGATTCATCTTCACTAAAAGAGGACTTTTAGAGGTAAACAAGTCTTCTTCCTTGTACTCGTATTCGATCGCCTTTTCAGCTAATGCAACTCTCACTCTCATGCCAAACATGCTAGGCCAGAAATCCAGTAGAATCACTTCATCATTTTCCATTACTATATGCTAGCTAAAAACTATAGCAAAAAACTCAAATTGTTACACAAGTATATAACAAATAGTTCCACAGTTCATTTGCTTGTATTTTGTATGTATTAACTTGTTTTATAGTAAAAAATCATAACATGTGAGACAACATAACACATAATCTGAAGTTTCATTATAGGTGGGCTTAATTTTCAAATAACATATCATTAACTTAATCTAAAGTGGTTAACAATCATAACTTTTTTGTTAAATGTCATTGTCTATCACAAACAACAACAACATTGTGGTGCAGCGGTAAATACTCCTTCGTCCTTGATTGAAAAGGTCTTTTTGGTTCCAGTCTCCTGGGATACGGAGTTACCTTTGTTAGCCGTTAGGGAGTTCAGATTTAATCAGACTCCGATATGGATATTTGGATACGGATCGAGTTTGCCTTGTTTGGGAACATTTTACCCCCAATGTGGGATAATTTGGATACTGAGTCGTCTTTATTAGGAAGCGTTTTGCCTTCAATGTAAGATTTTTCAACGCGAATTCAAATATTATTTTGGATACAAGTCGCGTTTGGTAAAGAGCGGTTTACTTTTAAGATGGGATTTTTTCTCGATACGTATTCAGATTTAGTCACTTTAATATGGATACCAAACACTGAACGGAAATAAAAAAAAATATCATTGTCATCAAGCACTAATGGGACAACTGCTATTGAGACGTTTCTTTTTCTTTTTTTATATAGATTTTGAATTTATTTTATATTATGTGTTCGACTTTTATACGGGGAACTTACATAAGTATGTTATATTAAGAAAATAATTATCATTTATAGTAATATATATTTTTTATTAAATATTTATAATATAATTTTAATACATATTACAAAAATAATTTAATATTACATATATAATTCACTTCTAAAATATATAACAAATTTATCATAATATTACTATAAATATTATTTTAAAAAATTATTAAAATCAATAATTATTTGTTAAAATTTTTTCACTCAAAAGTATTTTTTTTTTCATTTTGTATTATGGGGGAAAATAGAGACATCAAACACAGAGTTGATAAGCCTTTGAAGCAAATAAGTATTGGAGCGTAAATAATATAATATAAAATCACCTAATAGAATATTAAAATTATTTATTGTATATTGGGAATAGGGCAGCAGAAAAGTCCAACTAAAAAATATTTTTAAAAAAGATTCCACAGATCTAAATCTTTTTATTTTAATTGTTGTATCTATCTGTCCTAAAATATTTATATTCAATTTATTCACTTTATAATCCAAATGAAATGTGGATCAAATGCAATTTATCTAATTTAAATATTTAATATATGTTACATCAACAGATGGAGAGAACATATTCATATTAAAATTGATTACAGTTGTGGACTAATTACATGTATATCGAATTCTTTAAAAGTAATGTATTTTTAGAGTTTAAATATAATTGCAACAAGAGTTGAATAACACGGTAAAATGTTATATTATTACTATATTAATAGTGTAAAGAATCTTTAGGTTGTTATATAATATAATTAATTTATTTTATTTGACTGGTTAAAAATAATATATATAATTTCAATGTACAAAACTCGAAACTCTTTTAAAATATTGAGCCACCTGATCAATATATTAACATCTATAATTATGGTCTAATCTCCTATATTTTTTTTCTTGATTAGTTGAAAAAATCCTTTTTTGTTAATATTATATCAAGGAAAAAGAATTAAAAATGTACTCAAATCATGCGAAAGGAAAAAAGAATATCCTTCGTTTATAATTTGATCCAAAAAATATTTTTATTGTTATTTTAGGTAAAAAAAAATGCTAATTTTTTCAAATGAATATATTATTTATTTCTTTTTGAACATTCTTTTTCTAATAATTTTTTTTAAAATTAGCAATTGTTTATCTTCAATTGGAAAATGAAAATTTTCTTATTTTATTATAATTATTTCTATCGTTATACAAATAAAAACTAATGATGGGATATACTATAATTTTATACATATGACATATATTATCTGTCAAGATAGTAAGATTAATTAAGAGAGCAAAAATATTTTCTATATTTTTATTTGTTAAAGTAATTTTAAAGAAAAGATAACAAGATCAAAGTTCTTTAATAATATTTTAATTAAGAAGAAAATTTGTTTAAATGAAAAAAATAACAATATACTTGTTCGGAAAAAAGACATCTTTTACCTGTTTTAGTAACTATAGGGGCAATATTGAACCAAAGTGTTGACTACTAATGCATTTTTGAACCAAAAAATTGACAACAAGAACATTTTTAATCAAGCCATAAACGAAAAACATTTTTATTTCATTTACATAGTTTTAAAACATTTTTAATCATATTCCTTATATTAATGACTTTTCTTGATAAAAAAATGATGTAAAATAAAGAGGTGATTGATATATCATTAGACTTTATTGTAGCATGCATGTATATATGAAATGAGATATATAAATTCAATGCATTATTTTTCTTCGTAGAGTTGTCAAAATGGATCAATCCATTTCCAAGCTTCATGATTCAATGAATTTGATGGGTCATAACAGATCAAGCTCTCATTTAATAGGATCGTTAACCTAAGAGTCTGTTTGGATTGACTTTGAAAAAAACTATAAAAATAAAAAAGTCAAACTAAAATGACTTTTAAATCAAAAAATGAAAAACAGAGAGAGACATACTTTTGATTTATAACTTATTTTAAATCAATTTTAACTTATTATAAGTCATTTTTTACCTTGTCAAACACTTTCTTATTTATTATAAGTTTTTTATATATATATATTTGTCAAACACTTTCAGAAGTTAAATTTTGAGATTTGTAGTTAGTTTTATTCCATGTTTGTAAATTTTACGCGTTTAAGCAAATTTATACTACTTAATTACTCATCATATCTATAGTTTGCTATAATTACCTCTCGTGACTAACATTATACATTGATTATGTGGGCTAATTTTGAATTTGTATAATTAGCCACATTTGTATGTGTTTGATTCGACAGAATATACAAATAGTTATGTATAATGTACAATTATCTAACCAATATACATATACAATTCACCACTCTCCCACTCTATGCCCTCATCGCTCTCCTCTCTCCTCCCTCTCCCAAATTCGCTTGTCATATATACAAATGAATGTGTATAATATACAATTATCTAACGGATATACATATACAATTCACATCTCTCTCACTCTCTGTCCTCTCTCTCTCTCGCTTCTCTCGTCCCTCTCCCAATCTCGCTCGCCTATATCCTCCATCTCCCAATCATGTTTGTCATATATACAAATACATATGTATAACAAACAATTATCTAATCGATATACATATACAATTCACCTCTCTCCCACTCTCCTTCCCTTCCCAATCACGTTTTCCATACATACAAATGCATATGTATAATATACAATTATCTAATCAATATACATATACAATTCACCTCTCTCCCACTATTTGCCCTCTCTCCCAGTCTCGCTCACCTCTCTCCTCCCTATAACATGTAGCTATGAATCGTAATTATCAAATTATAGCTATAAAGAGCAATTAGGATATTTTTGAGTGGCTATATGTGAAAGTTTCTCAAATAAACACTAGTACAAGCCATAAAATGAAAATAAGAAAATGGGCCAAAGTTCTTTTCAACTTATAAGAGGCCTAAACATTACCCTTTTGGGCTTTATAAGTTGTGAAAGTTACATATTTGGCCCATCAGTCGAATTTCTGCCATAGTACTATATAGTATTTCTATTTCTTCGTTTCATTTCAAAATTTAATTATCGTTGTCTTATAATATATAAATAATCAAAACATTTAGGTGTTACAAATTTTTTTCATTTGTATTTTATGAGTTGAAAATTAGCCTTTTAATGTTTTGTATCTTATAAGCAATACATATAAATTTTAATGATTTATGCAAGTTCACAAGTGATGGCATACAAAATTAACCTAATTAAGGTTAATTAGTCGATAGTACTTTTAGAAGTTTTGTAATTATCCTTAACTATACCTATATTGTATAAATTTACTATTATGAGTTTGAAAAATATTTTTTTTCATATTAATATCAAAGACGGTTTCATGATTTAAGCTTTATAAGTTCAATTAATTACAAAAATTCATATCTTTTAGTTTACTTCTTACCATTATGTCCTATAAATTTTATAAATTTTCAAAATCCCTCATTTTCGCATATCACATTAATGTATCTCACGCATCAGATTAGTGTATCATGTATAAAATGTATCTCGCGCATCAAATTAGTGCATCTCACTCATCAAATTATTATATATCGTGCATCAAATTAATGTATCTCGTGCATCAGATCAGTGTATCATGTATAAAATGTACCTCGTGCATCAGATTAGTGTATCTCGCGCATCAAATTAGTATATCTCGCGCATCAAATTAATGTATCTCGTGCATCAGATTAGTGTATCATGTAAAATATATACCTCGCACATCAGATTAATGTATCTCGTGCATCAAATTAATGTATCTCGCGCATTAGATTAATGTATCGGCGCTAATGTTATTGTATACGTTTTGAGGAATTTTTGTAATTATAAATTTTTAAAAAATAAATTGTAATTTTACCTTAAAAATATGTGATTTCTGTAATTTGCTCCTTTTTAATCATTAAACCCATTATATTTTAAATGTTATAAGTTCATATAATCATATCTACTATCTGTTGTAATTTTAGTAAAAAAAATTTACATATAAATCACTTTATGTTGAAAGTATTTGGTTCACATGTATTGACATATTTCAAATGTGTTGTCTGTCCCTAATTAATATAACAAGTAGGGTTACAAAGAAAAAATATCTTCTGCATCTACAAATTTGTCTAATTTAGTGTATGTTACATCAATTGATGGAGAGAATATATTTAGATTAAAATTTAATTCTAGTTATCGACTAGTGATATGTGTGTCGGATTCTTCAAAATAGTGAATTTTTAGAATATCTGGCATAGTTGCAATGAGAGTCTGAGCAACACCGCTTTTAGTGAATTGTTACACCATTAATACTTTGATCGCGAAAAAATCTTTACAGTATAAATACAATTTAATTAATCTTTTAAGATTT